GAGAGTCTCAGTCCCGGTGCCCGCCCCGCGCCCGGCCTCGGTGCCGGGCCGGTCCCGGTCCGGGTCCCGGTACCGGCAGCGCCCCGCGAGCCCCTCTCCGGCCCTCCTGGCAGTGAACTTGGTCTGAAGCGAGCTCTGCTGGTTGCTTGAGGACGTTACAGGCGAGGCCGCCAAGTCCCCGGCCCCCCTTTCCCTTCCCCCCTGCTCCGGCTCCTGCCGAAACTTCCCAAATACCCCCCGGCCCCGGGCTCGCAGATTCTCCTGCATAAACAAATCCGGGATTTGCCACTAAGCAAATGCCCTTTACAAAAGCCGAACGCTGTCATTTGTTTTGACTTGAAAGGTATATATATACATACAGGCACACATATACATACACATGTTAAAAAGAGATAAATCAAAAGGAAAAAACTCATGCTAGTCTTATTCTTTCAACGCTTGCTGTCAAAATAGCTTCTTTTTCAAGCTATTTAGGGTAACAGAACACGGAAAACTACGAAGGGTGGACACCTCTCGAGTTAAGTTATCAACCTCCTTCCAAATACGATTTATTTGAAGATCAGGAGAGGAAAGATGGGGAAGAAATAGCTCAGGTCCCGAAAGAGCCACGGCCTGAAAGGAAATTTCAGTCTTTAATCCGCCCTGGGACTGGAAAGGGACCCCCCAGGTTACCTAATTGTGGCGAGATCTTTATCAAGGGGGTTTAAATAATTCCAGGAGCTCTTGCCTTCAGGCCGCAGGGACAATAAAGGAAAAGAAAGGGGGGAAATGGGAAAAAATGAATTTTTTTTTAAAAGGGAAAGACCAAATTTTCAGGCTGAAATTCTGCTGTGTGGATGGGAAGGAGCTTTGGGGACATGCAGGAACAGGGGTTGCCCTCCCCCTGTCCGCCCTGGCGCTGGCGGTGGGGAGAGGGCAGCTCTTCCCAGCCCTATGGCACAGGACTAGCTCCGTATTCGTGATTTTCCTTCGGCAGAAGGAAATAAAGAGCGGGGATCGTGGCTCCGTCACCAGCGCAGCCCCTCGAGGCAGATAAGGAGCTGTAATCTACGAAACTGTATTTTGTGTTCTGTGGGAAAAAAATAAATAAAAAGAAAGAAGAAGAAGGAGGACAAAAAAAAGACCCCTTTGGCTGCTCCGAAGCAGAAGTGCCACATTGTTGCTGGGTGTCGGGATTGGGGCAATCCGAAGCACATCCAGCCCTTTCCCAGCCCTCCCCCTCTCTCCCTGCGAGGCACCACCAAAGCATCGGGGACCTGGTGAATTAAAAAAAAAAAATGGAGCTTATGTTTTCCTTAAAAAAGGTGACCCGGGAGACCCCGGGGTCCGCGAGAGCCGCGAGCGCGGGCGGTGGACGGTGCTCGCGCTCTCCTTGGGAGCAGCCGGGGCTGGACGAGTCTGCTGACCTCGCCATGATCCCTCTCGCCTATGAATTATTGATGAGATATGAGCTCTGATTTCGCTTTTCAGTAGGCAAACCCCATTATACTGTTAAAATGGCGATTTAATCGTTTAGAATAGCTTCGCTTTTTTTTTTTCCAACTCATTTGTGCCCCCTTCATTTTCATTTAATTCTCTTAATTAAACCCTTTAACAGATTTTAATCACTTTTTGTTGAATAAAATAAGACATCATGCACATCTGTAACTAGGTTAGCTTGGCGAAGTTTGTTTTTGGTGGGGTTTCTTTGTTTTGGTTTGGTTTTAATTCGATCTGCTTGGTTTCGGGGGTGAATTCTTAAAGGCAAATTTTACTCTGTGCAAAACCGAACCAAGGGAGCACGGAGAGCCTGTAAAAATGCCTTAAAAAAACCCCTAGTCTGGCGTTCGCAGCTAAAATAAATAAATAAAGAGAAATAAAGCCACGGCATTCACACTGTCCTGACAACGGCCCTTCCACACTGAGCTGCTCTTTTCATTGCAGCGCTCCCCAAACAGCCCCGTCCCTCCGAGAAATTCATTTCCCCCCAGTTACCGCTAAGCGAAGCTGCCAAGCAAACGGCTACTGCGGGGTTAAGGGGGGAATTTTCCTCGTTTTTCCCCCCAAGGTGGCCTGGGTTGGGAGCACCTCGCTGGCCTGGCCCGGGGCTCGGAGGATGCTGCCCAGCACCTTTCGTTACTGCAGATGTGCAGCTAGGCGGGGGCCTGGGTGAGAAACAGGGGTTTGTGCTTTTTTGTTCTCTTTTTTGTTCTTTCTTTCTTTTTTTATTTTTATTTTTTTAATTTTACTTCCTCCAAAGATTCATTAAGGATTAGACACTGTTTGCGAAACGAAATAGGAAACCTCCAGGGCTGCAGAGAAGATAATACGACATAATAGGGAACAATAAATAAATTTTATAAAGGCAAGAAGGGACGGATGTGAGCCTTTCATTTTATTTTATTTTTTAATAATAAGCGAGAGGCGGCCGGGCTCGCTGCGGCCCATGTGGCCTCCCGGGGGGTCCCCCAGGTTTTGGCCACCACTTGGGGCAAATAGCCCCGATGCCCTCGGGCACCACCGGTCTCAAGTCCCTAAAGCAGAGTTTCCACGGTGCCCAGAGCCCTGAGCAGCACCAAGACCTGCATCTCAGTGGGCGTTGGAAAGAAAACCCACTTGTTTCCAAAGCACTAATCACCTTCAAGAGGTTGTCCTTATTTATTAATACCTGGTGTTAAAGCATTTCGTATTTATTCTCTCTTCCACAGCTGCAGAAGATCTAATTGCTGCGTGGCTGGTGCCTTACAGCGACAGAAGCGCTGAAAAAGGCCAAGGAAAATCCCCGCCTACCTGCACGGTCAGAGCTCCGTTTTCCTGTTTACTCTCCTTATACTTCCTCCTCATCTGCCACAGGGAGATTTTCTTTTCTTTAGGGGCTGGGGGGGAAGTCCGTTCTAAGCCTGTGACCCCTTCCGTGTTGTAAATTGGTAACCAGTGAGACCTCCCTATGTCTCACAGGAAGCTGGAGACTAACAACATGCAGGAAAGGAAAAATATATATAAATAAATAAAAATAACAATAAAATTCCCCAAAACACAACTCGGAGGAAACAGAATGTACTCCATGATGCAGATTGAAAGATAGAAAGGATATCTTGGGGATAGAGAGGATAGGGACAAGGGAGAGGGATGGGAAGGATCTGGGGGGATTTTAGGATGTCAGGAATCAAATCCAAGCCCTGCTGCCCTGCCCTACTGAAGCCCCCAGCCCCAGTGCCAAGGCTGCTCGTGCACCTTGCCCTCCCTTTGCCCTCCCAACCACACGTGGCACTTGCCAGGCCGTGTAAAATGAGATATGAGATAAAAGGAGATAAAAAGAGCCGTGTGGCTCGCGCCCTCGGACTTGATTTTGGAGCGGAGCTGCCCTGGGACATCGCAAAAGAGGAATTCCGAGCGCGGACATGTGCATGGGGGAGAGGGCTGAGTGGATGGATAGATGGACGCGCTTTGGAAATGTTGGTGCATCGAACGTATTTATTCAGGTTTATATTAAGAGTGGAGGACACTGCTTTTCTTGCCTAAGTTGTTAGTTGTGATACGAGGCGGTCACAGTTATTTCTTGCCGCCAGTGGAGATGAGAGGCGGCAGAAGCAGCAGGCCTCGCACTTGCTCTAATCCGGCCTGATAACAAACCTCTCCCTTCCGCGTCTCCTGATGCAGGGGAGCCAAAACGTCCCTAACTTGCCTTGTTCATGGCGCAAAACGCACAATTTCGCGTTTTAAGACCTTTCCATTTCATATCTTTATTATCAACCGGGAAACAGGAGTCCTGCTTCAACAAGCATGAAGCTACACAGCATAAAACAGCTCCAGCGAGCAGGAGAGGCTCCCCAGGCTCCCCACACCCCGCTTCCCTCTCCGGATTTCTGTATTTTCACACATTTGCAGAGCAGAGGTTTCTGCCTGTCGCTCAGGAGCGTTCGTTTGCTCCGTCAAACCTCTGCCTGGACAGGGAGAAGCTGGAAGCCTACACCACGATAGCAAAGATATTAGAAGCCACATGGAGCAGGACAGGAAAAACAGCCCGAGGAAGGAAAAGCAATCGCCGAAGTGTGCAAAAGGGGGACATTCTGCTTTGTGTAAAAGAGACGGACATGTGTCCACCAAATGTTGTCTCACCGTTAAAATCCCAGCTAAGCTCTGCCTGGACAGGGAGAAGCTGGAAGCCTACACCACGATAGCAAAGATATTAGAAGCCACATGGAGCAGGACAGGAAAAACAGCCCGAGGAAGGAAAAGCAATCGCCGAAGTGTGCAAAAGGGGGACATTCTGCTTTGTGTAAAAGAGACGGACATGTGTCCACCAAATGTTGTCTCACCGTTAAAATCCCAGCTAAGGAGGGGGAAACTACTGCAGAAGTGAAGATTTTGGTTTCCCAAAGAAAAATCCACCGTTTTCCTGCCGTTTCCCCCCGAGCCCAGCGGTACCTACGCGGGCCGGTCCCCACCTAGAGCCACCTCGGGCTCATCGCTGCCTGCCCCCCGCTCCGAGCCCTTCTGTCTCTGCTCACTTGTTTGTTTTCCAAAGGGAAAGGCTGCTCCCTTTCCATGGCACACTTGGGAAAGGAGACGCGAATCGGCGAGAAGAGCTTTAGGTGAGAACAACGCTTGGAGGGTCCCTATGCAAACTGCAGCCGCCTGACTAAGTTTTAGGGATCGCTGGAGACATAACAGTGGGCATTCCGTGTCTCCATATGGGATAAACAAACTGCGGAAATCAGAGGACACTACTTAAATATATATATACATATATATAGATATAAAAGTCCTGGGGCAAATCATAATAATCATCATAATAAAAAAGGGTCACTTCCCAGGCCAAAATAAAAGCAAAAGCGCACAAATTTCCTTGGCAGGCAGGTGAAAAACAATTAAAATCAAAAGGTGTCAGCAACCTGCAGGACGCAAAGCGAAGGCAGTTAATTGAAATGCAAAGGGAGAGGCCGGATTTGTGACTAGTTGTGAGCAGTGATAAAACCCCCCAGACCCTCCAATACATGACAGAGATCCCTTCTGCATGGAAAAGGACAAATCCAAACTTTGCCTGCAGTGTTTGTCCCCGGCCAAGCCAGGACAACCCCGCGACCACAGTGAATCTGCCCGGATCTGCTGTTCCTCCCGTCCCCGCAAAGTTCACTTTGGGCCTCAAAATTGTGGCGGAAAACTGTTGAACCCCGGACTCTCGGGAGGGTAAGCGCCAGAAGCTCCTAAAAGTGAGAAATACAGCTCTGAAAGAGAGACAGACCCTCTTTCCTCCCCTCTCAGCCTTTAGCCATATCACCCCCTGAAAACACTTTAAGCGGATAATATTTCAGAAGAACTTACTTTCAGGACTCCAGTCTATTGGTTCTCTGGACTGAAAACTGGACCCGCAAAACATGTTCCCCGCAATTGCAACGTTTATCTCATCTGGAAAAGTGCTCACCCATTGCTGCCCCTTACAAGCCAAACCAAGCAGTTAAAGTGTCACTTAACATTCTAGAGAATGTGAAATATATTGTACATTGTCAACTCCCCAAAACCATAAAACTAACTTTATGGACCTCACGTGACTTTTGAGAGCCAGTGAGGGGTATCTGTCTGAGGTCTGGGCGATTTTTACGATCTAACTTCTAGATAAAACCCTATCCATTTGACATCTAAATGTCATACCCACTTTTGGTATAGTTTGCTATTGGTAAAAAAATATCAAGGGAAGGCGAGCAAATGGTTTGGGATCTGACAGTCCACTTCACATTCCTCTCAAAATCACTTAAGAAGTACCTAAACAGTGGGAGATTAAGTTTGGTAAGTTTTAAGATCCAACTTTACTTGATACGAACAAAAAGCCTAAGCTGTATTGTAAGGATGTCAGTGGCGCTTTGCCAAATAGAGCGACTTTAAGCTGGAGTGTCTCGTGCCTTGTTAGAATCCCTAGGTAGCAAAATTGCAACATTTGCCATCTTTGATGATGTTAAATTATCTGCAGCGAAAATGCCTCGTTGTAGCAAGTATCAGTAGTTATCGAGCTGTAATCTGTTATTTACATGTAGAGCCAGAGACTCGGATGTGGCAGCAGTAAAGCACAATAAAATGGAGCGAGAGATGGAGGAGAGATTGCAGTTTAGCATAGAAATATATTATATATATACATATTATGGACGTACACACATAGTTATGTGTAATGAGTTTTTTTTGTGTGTGCAAACATAGAGATATGTATAAATACCTCTACCGCTTTATGAATGTGTGTGTGCGGATACATATGGCAATTCCTGGAGTGCGCGCAGATCCGCGGGAGAAGCTTTTATGCCGCGTTATTGCAACCTAAAGTAGTTTCAAGCAGTTTGATGCGATCTGGGGGGGAGTCTGTGTTATTTCCAGGCGGGGAGGCGCGAGCAGGAGCGGGACTGGGAGGGAGCCGCTTGCGCGGGGCTCCGCGGCACGTCCACGAGGTGCCCCGCGGCCGCGCAGCCTCCGCGCGCCTGGGCGCAGCGCAAGCCCCGCGGCTTGCGCAGTCCTCGGCGTTCGCGCGTGGCGCCGATTCCTCGCGCGAGTCCCGAAGCCGGCGGATAAAGTGCGAGCAGAGCCTTTGTGAGTAGGAGAAACGTTTATTTGACTTCGAGTAAAGCTACAAACAAATACAAAAAGCTTATTGGCAAAGTACTACCAGGCAGCTAGACATGACAGATGCCATTTTTACACATAACATTGCATTCACTCTGCCCACTACGAACTGGCTATTAGTCACATCAGAAATATTTGTAGTATTTACAAACATTAGAGCACTCTATTGTTGATCCAATTTTATACATTTTTTTTTCATAGTGAAGTTTATCCACGTCTAAGACGACGTCTCAGAAGTAGCCTGGGATTAGAAATCCTGGCCTGAAGTTTGAACTAAAACACAGACTGGACAATTTTAAGACAGAAAGATACAAGAGCTTTTTTTTTTCTTTTTTTTTTTTTTGCCTTTTTTTTAATATATACGTATTCTTTTTCTGCGACTGTAGTGCAGGAACCCCCGATTTTAGCTTAGGCAGAGAAGTCACCCAAAAGCAGTAAACTCAGGAAGGGGAAAAAAAAACCAACAAATAAACAGTCATATCTATCATCAATTTATAAATAAGTTATAACATTTAAAAGGCTCACATAAAACATGCTAGCTTTCCAAAAAGCACCAAGAGAGCACGGACACATACATTTATAAGAACAACAAGAGCATGTGAGCATCTGGAAATAAAATTTAATTAAAAATAATAAAAAAAAAATCACGACATGAGTCCTGGGATAACGGTACCATACGCGTTGTTTTAGAATATCAACAACATGCCGAAAAGAAGGTGCCTCACTGTACAGTACTCGAAACTAAGATCTGCTGCTCTTTATTTATTTATTTAGGTATTTATTTATTGTTTCCTCTTCTCTCCTCGATATTCCTCCTCTATAATTTATGGCTGAAAGGCGCTGCCTGCAGAGGCTAAGCTCATGCTTTTCAGTTTATTATCCTTCTTCCATTTCATCCTCCTGTTTTGGAACCAGATTTTGATCTGCCTTTCGGAGAGGCAGAGAGCGTGAGCGATCTCTATTCTCCTCCTGCGGGTGAGATATCTATTGAAGTGGAATTCCTTTTCCAACTCCAGGGTCTGGTAGCGAGTGTATGCTGTCCTCGCCCTCTTACCGTCTGGTCCAGTCATGTCTGAATAACACGGACAACAGTGGGATTTTTTTTTCTGTTTTCTTTGGTACGATATTCCCCTTGATGCTATTTAAATATATATATATATATAAATCCCCATGCAAAATATTCACCCTCTTCTGGCCATTATGAAGCTGTTTATTCCCCGAATAGCGAGCTCTGCCCCTGGCTCCCTCTCTTGCTCGCACCCCACCCCCCCAGGCACGTGTAAAGCCCCCCACCCCCGGCCCCTGCAGAACCGACCCTGGCAGCTCAATAGTCCTAATTTAGCTGGAGACCCCGGGTCTTTAAATCTGTCCCTTTCGCCTCTGCCTGGCTGTCTGTGTGTTCGCGAGTGCAGCTGTTTGAACGCTGCTTTCTTTTCTTCGGGAGAAAAGGGGGGGTCTCGCTGCTCCCCATCTATCCCCCTGCAATTTTGCCTTTGCCACGAGCAGATTTTTAAGAATCCATCCGGCAAAATAGGAGTAGGAAAGGATGGGGAGCCCCATCTGTGCATAGAATGCCATTTTAACGGTCAATTCTTTCTTTTCCTCCCCCTCCCCTGAAACAGCCCCTTCCCCACAATTTTCAATTGCCTTCTCCCCCCACACACAGACAGCTGGAGTCTTAAACAAGCGCCCATTCCGCGGCAGAAATAGCGAAAGTAAAATAAAATCGCCCCCCTTCAGGCGCCAGAGGCAGCTCTCTGCTTTAAAGCAGCGGGCAGAGCAAGAAATACAAAGCAATAAATAGCTGGTCAAAGCGGCTGCCCCGAATAAAAGCAAGGGGAGAAATAAAGGGGGTGAAGGAGGGGGAAGGGAGGGAAAAAAAAAGAGGGGGGCGCGAAAATAAACAACAACAACGACAAGGAGCGAAAAAAAGAAGTAGCTGTACCATGGCTAATGTGAAGTTTCCTCATCCAAGGGAATATCTGAGGTGCCTGCCCTTCTGGTGCCGCGGTGGAGGTTGCGATGGGCTCTGCCTGCGCTCGGGGGATGCTGCTGCTTATTGGAGTGCCCTCGTCGGCTCCCGAGGACGCGCTGGTCTCGTCTAGTTCTGTGAAATTTGTGTTGGTGCTGCCAGAAGTAGCTTGCTCGGAGGGGGACGGGGCGGGCTTGCCTCCATGGCTCTCGCTGTTGGAGCAGGGCAGGGAGTCGGGAGAAGATAAGGAGCAGCTAGACGCCTGTCTAAACCTGCTCTCCTGAGCTGGAGAAGGGAAACCGCGGGAGCTCTCGCCCACAGCCCCAAAGTGACTAGAGGAGGCTGTGCGGTTGATGCTAAGGTCCATCCCATTGTAGTTGTAGCCATAAGAGCTGGAATGCATGGTGCTTGAATCTCTGTAAGAACCGTTCATGGAACTGCTGGTCCCATAATTTAGTAACTGATAGTCGGGGCCATTTGGGTAGCGCCCTGAGAACGAGTTTACAAAGTAAGAGCTCATTTGGGTTATTTTGGAGGGCTTGATTTGTGGCTCGTGGTCGTTATAACCCTGTGCTTGACGATTTATGATGTATTAATGAATTATAGCGATGCACTGTACTTCGTTTTTGCTATGTATGCGGCCAAATATGGGGGGAGGGTGGGGGGTGCGTTTGGGCATCACGTGCTTTTGTTGACCAGTCGTAAATTCTCACTGATGACCTCAAGAGGTAATTCATGCTCTATGGTTACAAATAATGACGCGCCTTCCCTGCGCTTTTCCTGCTTTTTCTTTTTTTCTCCCCCTTTTCCTCTCCGCGGTGCGGCCATCTCCGAGGTGTGGGGCTTCTTCATCTCTCCCGTGTCCCACCGCCAGCTTCATCCCCATGGTGGCTTGTGCTTGAGATTCTCCTGGCCGCTTTACCGCGCGAGTTGAGCGGCGCGCAAAAGCGGCCGGTCGGGGCGGCTGTGCAGTGTCCGAGGGGAAGGCGAAGGCAGCGCGGGGCAGGCGGTGCTGCTGGGGGTGGTTGTTTCGGGCAGGTTTTGCCACGACTGCATGGAAATCTCGAGCTCCCTTAGCAGCTCTACAGTCACACCTTGAAATTCTGGAAGGGGAAGAAAAAAGAGGGAAAATAGGAAAATAAAAAGGAAAAGGAGGGAAAGTCCAGCCGTTGGAAGTGGTTGACAACGTTGCTCTTGAGATATTCATGTTGCTCAGTGTTTCTCGTCCTCTTTCAAGCGAGCATTGCGCTACATGATTTTTCCTTTCCAATTGCTAATCTGCAAGGAATATTTGGGAGCAAAAGCCCCTGAAAAGCGAACAAGCATTGTGAGATAACCGCACTTTGTTAAGCATTACTTTTTCTTTCCTTTTCTGTCTCTCTTTTTTATTATTATTTTATTTCTTTTTTTTTTCCCAAGGCAGTTTAGGAATTTCATATGGTTGTCTGCAACTCATTGGAAATTATGCGCCATATTGAAAGTGACATATAATTATAATAATTACGGGCAATGAAAAGCGTGGCAATAATAGTAAATGTCCTACAGCTGTGAAGCTTCTGCATGAATTGATTTTAAAAGTGACTGACATTAAACCAGCTTGTGGCATGGGGGAATGCATTCATACATAGGTATTTCTGGTGGGTAGCGAGAAAAGGGAATTGAAGTGAAGAGATACTTCGTCGCAGCGATTTCCCCCCTTGAAGCTCCACATAGTGGTATCCGAGTTAGGCTGAGCTAATCGCTTGCTTTGATTCTTAAATCCCCAGCAGAAAAAGCACTTCCTTTCGTTTAATTCCACAAACCAGACAATCTTTGCTCTGTGCAGGCACGAGATTCCTCTTTGGTACAGAACAGAAGCAGCATCCATCCCATCCCAGGCAAAAGCGGACTGTCAGAAGGAGCCATTTCAAGTGCTTGAAGTGAAAATAAAATCTAATATTCTGAAACAACCTATTGGGTTAATTAGGGCTTTTTCTTTCTTTTTTCTTTTTTTTTTAATTAAAAAAATCCAAAATACTCGGTGCTGAGAAGCTACTCATTTTGCAGGGAAGATTGCCTTGAAATCTGGATTTTTTTGCAGTACACTTCACTTTGATTTGGGGATATTAAGTAAGGGACCAGATGTTTGAAAGATGCTAGGCAAATGTTAGGTATCTTCCGCAGATAAATGCGAGCATATTTTTGCCAGTTTCCTTGATTTATTATGTATACGAAAAGCATTTCATCATAACTCTTTGTACTGTAACAATAAAAAAGAACGATACTAAAGCAGAATGTCAGCGAGGAAATACTATTGGTGAAAGGTCTTCCATTTCAGATTAGACAAAAAGAAGGAAAACCAGATTTATCTCTGCACTGTAACTTCCGTATGCTCGGACTTGCTTGTCCTTGCAGATTAGCAGATAGTGCCATAAAGAGAGGGGCTATTCTCTCTTTGCAGCTCTCTGCTCCTTAAGAACGGCAAATTTCTCTGGAAAAGGGAAAGATAGCAATAATGACAGGGGGGTTTCATGAGATCGAAGACTGTTTTTATTAGAGAATTCCATGTTCATACCTAAGACAAACTTCAAACACAACACGTACAAAAAATAAAATATAACTTTTTTGTTGCTGTTGCTTTTGCATCCTTTTAGGTAGTACTTGCTCTTTCAGTAGATTTTCTCAAAAAATAATAACAAAAAGAAAAACTAATTACAAAGACCCCAGGGCTTGATTAATTTACCAAAGGAAAACAAACATTTTTAAAAAAGGAAAAAAAATGAAAAAGATCTATGCCAACCGTGCATGAAACAATTTTACAAAAATAAGACAATAAACACCCCAAATGACATATATTGCAGCACTTCCATTAAATACAAGAGTTAGCAGATTACTAACAGTGACACCAAGGGTAGAAACGCGGGTAGACGTCTCTTTTTTTTTTCTTTCCCTTTCTTCCCCGCCCCCCCTCTTTTTCTGTATCTTTACTTATGTGTTTTTTTTTTTTTTTCTGTAATTGGGGGGAGGGGAGGAAGATCTAGGAAGAAAAAAAAATCGCAACTAGAAGCCTGGTATTTTTTTTCTTTTTCTGGACATGACAGAATTACTGGAAACACGAGTCCATGGCATTGGTGGCGCAAACTTTCTAGCGTGGCCGTGGCAGCAGAGGGCTTGTCCCACCAGTGTGCACGTCCCCGCAGCGGCCCCGCGCCATCCCACAGCTCACACACACTCACTCACTCTTTTTTTTTTCTGCTTTTTGTGTGTGTTTTGCTTTGTGTTTAAATACTACTTTCACTCGGCCGTTTTCTCCTCCTCCTCCTCCGCGCTGAGCTGTGCGGAGTTGAGCAGTTTGTTCTCCTTTTTCCACTTCATGCGCCGGTTCTGGAACCAGATCTTGATCTGGCGCTCGGTGAGGCAGAGCGAGTGCGCGATCTCGATGCGGCGCCGCCGGGTCAGGTAGCGGTTGAAGTGAAACTCCTTCTCCAGCTCCAGCGTCTGGTAGCGGGTGTAGGTCTGGCGGCCTCGGCGGCCGCTGGGCCCGAACGATGAACCTGGGACACCCGCAGAATGAAAGGAAAAAAATAAAAGGGGAAAAAAAGGGAATGAAAAATAGAGAGGGAAGGGATGGGGTGAGGGGATCCCGGTGGTTATTGGAGGCGCGGGGATCTACGCGCTCGCTGCCTTGGCTCCCCCCCACACGCCTCCCCCTCCTGCCCTGAGAAGCCGGAGACGGCGAAAAAACCCGCGGGCCCCTTGGCGAGGGCGGCTCCGCGGGCCGCCCCGGCGCAGGCTCCGCGCAGGG